ATCAAGGAATCTTCAGCACCATCAAGGCTCTCTGGACACAAAGTACAACTGACATCAGTATTCAGGACAAAACACAGGTGAGTATAGTAATGGTATACAATACCATCAATTAGATTAGTAAGAAACATGTGCAGCAGTTAGGTATCTTTATCCTGAAACATTTTGTCCCCAGTAGGCTTTGTCAGCTGAATACAGAGGTGGCAAATATGTTGACAGCATAAGCAATGGAGAGGTAAACATGATGTGATCAGTCTGTTAACCTTGAAGAAATAGCTTGAGGTGGTCAGTCCCTCAACCTGGAGAGGTGTTCAACTTCGTAGTTATGGTGGAAAAAAGGGACACATGCCATTTAATGCGATCCTATATTAACGTTTCACCCGCAGTGGGCTCTATCAAGTAAAAAACAGAGCTACCTGAGCAAAGAGGATGTATGTATATATATTATTATTATTATTACAGTCAGAACTAAGTACAAAACCCACCAGGGTCATACAGTACTGCTATATATATATATACAGAGAGCATGGCAACACGAAGAGTCAGGTGATGTATGTTGATGTTTTCTTCTTAGATAGACTAATAACAGGTTGGACAAATGTGAAACTGAAGCATGAGAATGGAGAGAAGCTGAAAATGAAGATGACATTACTGGAAGTAGGGCCCACTAGTAGAAGTAGGAACATAAGAGTTGAGGAACACTGCAGCAGGCCTACTGGCCCATGCACAGCAAATATAAAAAAGCGCTAAGCCTACAAGGGTCATACAGCGCATGCACAGCAAGCCCTTATATGTATTTTTCTCACTTGTAACTAGTATTTCAGCAATCAATTTGTAGAAATCCTCTTTACCAAGATACTGTTGTGGCACTATCAAAGGCTCCTTTCTTATGTTTCAGCTTCATGTCGTCTAAGACTATAAAGACTATAAACACCTCTCGAGGTTGTGGGACTGACCACCTCAAACTAATTCTCAAGGTTGATGGACTCATCACATCATTACCTCTCCAATGCTTCTGCTCTCCCCATATTTAACACCTCTGTATTCCACTGATGAAACCTACTGTGTAGGCGAAACATTTCGGGATAAAAATTTGTAAACAAGGCAAAGGTACAGGTCAAGCTTTTTTTGTAACAATGTTTTACTCTAAGATTTTGTTTGGATTTTTAACCCTGGAGGGTTAGCCACCCAGGATAACACAAGGAAGGCAGTGAATCATTGGGGAACTGTCTGTCTTATTTCCATTGGGGTCCTCAGTCTTGTCCCCCAGGATGCAACCCAGACCAGTTGACTAACATCCAGGTGAATGGGGACAACAGGTGTAAGGAAACACGCCTAATGCTTCCACCCTTGCTGAGGATTGAACCATGGACACTCAGTATGTGAAGCGAGAGCGTTGCCTACCAGGCTATGGGCCACAGTATGTAGCTTTATCAAAAGCAAATTATTGTCACAAAATAAGCTTAGGTTGTACCTGTGTTTTTTCTACAATTAAGACACCTTCTTGAAGATTTAAATTTATTAATTATAATATAAAGGATAATACAAAAAATTATTTTTACATTATTTATTTTCACACTTACACCAGTTTAACTACTGTATTTACAAGTGATTGGAAGCCTTAATAAGGTGTATGAAAGGACTGAAATTGATCAGCAATAATTCATGGTAAGTCTGGACTGTCAAGACAATGACTAGTATCTCTTCTTCAATTCTCTCACACCTTTAGGACTCCCATCAGCATGATCAATTCATAGGTTCCTGTGCCACTGTACAATGTTGCTTCTTGTCTCAGCAAGTGCCAAATTCACAGGACTAAATTAACTTCTTCCCACAGGAAAATATATGTTGTATTATACCCAATACTATTTTTTTTTTTTTTTACAAAATCATACAATGAATAGGAAGTACAAAATTTATTTAAGCATTAGACATTAAATTTTACAATCTGCTATTTCAATTTAATCAGGTAGCTTCTGATTAATAAATATGATCTTTATTGCACTTACATCAGAAGATCTTTATATCAATAAAGCATCCTGTTACCCAAAGCAGTTTATATTTTCCTATCCTTCGACTGTTAAGTACCATTTCTTTCAGACAATCCTCAGTTTTCTTAGTAAACTACTCATTTTATCATCATCTTGTTATCTTACAACACCTTCCATGACTGTATCTACTGTGAGAATCAAGTGTTTACACTAAAGCACATTTAAAAATATATATTAATGGAGAAGTGCTAAACCTGAAGTGGTGAGTCATATAAGCAAGCAATGCTTTGATAAAGAAAAGTAGCATTTCAGTGTACTGTGTTGATACTGTATAAACAAGTATATGACAAGGCAGATCATGAAATTCTCTGTTACATGTTCAAAAACTTGGAAATAAATGTAAAAAGGTTTTAATGTTGGTAGTTAGCCATAGGCTAGAGTGTATAAGAATGAAGGGAAATGGCTTCCAGTTAGAATGGGACTTAATGAATGTGATGTAGTCATAGATTTTAATGGGTTTTCTGATGAGTTTGTAAGAGAAATGAATACAATTTCAGTTTTTTGGAGATGTGATCCCCAACAAATAACAAAATTTAGACAGGAAGTGGGACTTGTAAAAGTTGCTTCTTGTAAATAACACACTCCTACT